TTTGGTCCCTCACTCTAGATGTCTGCTGGGCCTTGCCCACTGAGGAATGACCTGACTTTCTGTTTAGAACATCCCATTGCTGGGAGACCTGACTGTCTTCTTTGTCCATTCCAATATTTCTGTGTACTGTCCCCCATCCTGTAAGATACCAGGGCATGCTGAGCCATCCCTCGTGAGTTGCCAGTCTCCTCTCAGATTCCTTTGCTTCTCTCTGAGAGGGGTCGTGCCCTCCGCTCTCGATCACAACTCTACCTCTGTGCTGGAAAATAATAGTTTGCCAATCTGCCCTTTTAAATAGGACTTTCATCATAGTCCACTGGCTTTATTTTTAAAAAGTAATTTGGTGCACACTCATCCTCAAGATAGCAGAAGCAAAAGCACAGGGCAGCTGGGAACAAGACTGATGCACAGTGCAGCTCTCCTGACTCTGCCGTGAAAGAGAGGAGCCCTTTTGCCTGCCTTGTCCTAAGAGTTCACACATTCAGTTCTAAAAGAGGATTTCTACACCTAAAGCTAGTACTCACCAGATGTGATCGTGGAAAAAGAAAAGAACGCAGAGAAAATCATCATAAAGACATACTCAGCCTCTCTTCTGCAGCCCACACTCTCTGGAGTGATGAGTGCAGATATTGGACATTTAAATGAAGGGTGAATTGCGTCTGACCTCCCTTGTGACCATCGGGGTGTCAAGAACCAGCTCCCATGTACTCACTGCAGAAGGGCAGAGCTGAGTCCTTGGCAGCACATGGGCAGAGGTCCTGCTCCTCAAAGTAAATTCAGCCAGCAGAAATCAAAGAAATCCCTTGGAATTGGGAGAGTCTGTTGTAATTTTCCTGTGTCTTTTCCTTCTTAGGCCAGTGCCCCCATGTTCAAAAACCTGCAAATGTCCAACAGCAGCTCCGTCACTGAGTTCCTCCTCCTGGCATTCGCAGACACATGGGAGCTGCAGCTCTTGCACTTCTGGTTCTACCTGGGCATCTACCTGGCTGCTCTCCTGGGCAATGGCCTCATCATCACTGCCATAGCCTGCCACCACCACCTCCACACCCCCATGTACTTCTTCCTCCTCAACCTCTCCATCCTTGAACTCGGTGGCATCTCCAACACTGTGCCCAAAGCCATGGCCAATTCACTCTGGGACACCAGGGCCATCTTCAATGCAGGATGTGCTGCTCAGGTCTTTTACTTTCTGATTTCAGCAGAATTTTCCCTTCTAACTGTCATGGCCTATGACCACTATGTTGCCATCTGCCAACCTGCCCTAGGGGACCCTGCTGGCAAGGGGAGCTTGTGTCCACATGGCAGCAGCTGCCTGGGGCAGTGGCTTTCTCCATGCTGTGCTGCACACGGCCAATACATTTTCTATACCACTCTGCCATGGCAATGACCTGGAGCAGTTCTTCTATGAACTTCCCCAGATCCTCAAGCTCTCCTGCTCAGACTCAGAATATCTCAAGGAGGCTTGGCTTATTGTGGTTAGTGCCTGTTTATTCTTCATGTGTTTTGTTTTCATTGTGCTGTCCTACGTGCAGATCTTCAGGGCCGTGCTGAGGATCCCCTCTGAGCAGGGACGGCACAAAGCCTTTTCCACGTGCCTCCCTCACCTGGCCGTGGTGTCCTTGTTTGCCAGCACCAGGATATTTGGTCATCTGAAGCCCCCCTCCATCTCCTCTCCATCCCTGGACCTCCTGGTGGCAGTTCTGTACTCGGTGGTGCCTCCAGCAGTGAACCCCCTCATCTACAGCATGAGGAACCAGGACCTCAAGGGTGCAGTGTGGAAACTGATGACAAGATGTTTTTCAGAAGCAGTATACTTCACATATCCTTCTACATATCACTTGTGACAGAATTCATGACAGGCCCAACGTGCTTTTATGTGTTTTATTGTTGTTGATGTTATTGTTGGGGTTTTTTTTATTTTTCTTTTTTTCACTTGTAATAATCTTGTCCACAACGAATTTTCATTATTCATACCGTTGCTAATTCATTATCTACCTGTCTGGTTTTTACCCGGAGGCAGGGTAAATAAATTTCCATACCCTCTGTGCATTGCAACATCAAAAAGGACCCTGCAGTGACATTTCTGACTGAGATCTTCTCTGGAGCTACAGAGGCAGTTCCTGTGTACAGAGTCCCTGCACAGCAGATCTCTGACAGAGCTGGCCTCTG